GTGCAACGTGATTTTACATGACATGTCACGTCATGGTGTCATGCCAGTTAACAGACGTCTTGCCCGGCGTTACGTCAGCGGCGTGGCGTGAATTTGAGATATTTTGGCGGACTGCCGAAAGTGGCTAATGTCGATGCGGAGCGCGGTCGACGGCAAGAAATCCGCGAAGTGCCCCATTAACTGCTATTGCAGTAAAAAAGACAAAAAAAAAACAGTATAACGTGTTTTGTTGTTAAGAGAAAAGACTTTGGTAGCATCATCGGCCCCAATCGAAATGCGTGTAGAACACTGAGATAATTAATTCAATTTGTTCAGCGGCCTCTCTGCAATCTTTGAAAATGGCATTAGCGCGCGACGCAGCCTGATCATGCACGGTTCGCAAGGCTGGGAAAGGATCTAATCGATATTTCATGCGCGTAGGAGTTGATATAAATTGACCTTATTATATAATGACGGAATTATAGAATGGTCCTTGAGGCAATTTCGCTGCAAACGGAGACATAAAGTGTTAACCTATCAGTCAGTACATCTTCAGTTCTTTGTTTGCGTCATGATTTTAGAAGATTAGCCCAGTCGTTTAAGGAGTATCGATGATCTATGCATCATTTAATGCAAACCGGAAATGTGTTTGTTTGTTTTGAGAGGGTCTAATCGCATTTTACGTTTCTATTAAAGGGCTTCCCAATCTTTAGCGATGATGTCTGTGTTTTTAGACATGAGGAAGATACATAGAAAGGGGGGACGGACAACGAAGACTTCCAACTAGCAACAACATTTATTGACCAGAAGTTTGCATATATAGGTGAAGGAGGGGAGGGTGAAAGACGCTACACTGGAAAGTGGGACAGCGATGGGAGAGGGTGTAGAGCCAGGGAAATGAGGGACGATCCCGTGGGGTAGACATCTAATCGCTTGGAACCGCGGAAACGAGGACAGGACAGAGCTGACGTCCCTCGTTTCCGCGGTTCCAAGCGATTAGATGTCTACCCCACGGGATCGTCCCTCATTTCCCTGGCTCTACACCCTCTCCCATCGCTGTCCCACTTTCCAGTGTAGCGTCTTTCACCCTCCCCTCCTTCACCTATATATGCAAACTTCGGGTCAATAAATGTTGTTGCTAGTTGGAAGTCTTCGTTGTCCGTCCCCCCTTTCTATGTATCTTCCTCATGTCTAATTACCGTTACCAACACGCTCGTTTTGTTCTTAATGTCTATGTTGTAGAAAGTTTTGCTTAAACAAGAACGTCCCAGTGAGCGTGTCTAGTGAGAAAACAAACGAAAAATCAGCAGTATGCTCCATTAAATATGCATCGGGGCGAATTTTGGTTATCTTGAAACGCTCGGAGCCAAGAGAATAGCTACTGAAAAAGATGCATTCATTAAATGCGGCAGTGGTTCAATGTTTAACGATCTGTCTAAACGTTTTTTTTTTTTGCAATTTTCTGCTCACCTTCGTCTCGGGTGGTTTTAATTATGACAGAATCCTTCAACACGAGTAGGGTCGCGAAAGGTGTCCGTTATGCAATGCGGGATTTTTGAACGTCGACAAAATGACATGATCAGTGCAAAGGTTGCACTTATTAGGTCTCGTCGCTTTCACATATCATCTTGGTATGTACAGCTATAGTTTCATGTTCCTTTCACATAAAACAAACTGAGAAGTGATCATGTTGAGATAAATGCACATGGCAGACAACGGTCATTCAGATGAAAGACAAAAGCCTGCTTTACACTGCCGTTGTATGAGAAAAAATGTCTATGAAAAAAGGGGCCCCTTGAAAATGTAATTGTGATAGTCATATTTTGTCAATAATTGTTTAATGGAGTGCGTAAAGCAAATTTGTGAAATATTTGAGGATTATTGAGGCGTACGTGAAATTGAGAATAAAAAAGAAAAAAAATATGTGACATGTTTTACATCTTTAGCTACTGAGATAGTTAACGTTTTGTTCCCATTCGTTTTTCGGTTCATTCTTGCGCCCAAAGAACGCTCTCCAGCCATATTTTGTGCTCTAAATTACATTATTTCCCCGAAAAATACCATGCGGCTTTAAAACCAGAAAAGGCTTAGAGTAAAAGAAAGATCTTAAATGAATATACCAAAAGGACGTCTCTTTCGGAATCTTTGCTAAGCCTCTGCGGAACGCGGCCAGCTATTCCCAGACTTGCGGGAGTACTTTCTTTATCTTTTTCCGAGAAGAACACAATATGATTTGCAGTTCAATTTCTTAAGTTTTCTTACACAGGATGGTATTTTAAAAATATAACTTTGCTTAGAGACAGTGTTTCTAACCCAAAATGAGACCATGCAAAGCCGCAGCAACCCTTCGTGGCGGACCTAAAATGTGTTGGACTGTGGTACTAGGTTAACTTAACAAGGTCGAGTTAGGAGTCTATGTTGCTCTAAGCTACTCAATTATTTATTAAATTATTTCATTCTAACACTCGTCTATTTTTTTTTCATTTCATGTGCCGATGAACAGATATGTTGACTTACGCTTCAAAGTTTAACATTGCATATACAAAGTAATTATTTACGAATCATGTGTACATACATATATATCCGTGCAGAAAGTATAATGTGGCATATCAATGTCCTTTTGGGGTTTCGTAGAACACCACTTTTGTTTCACAGACATGGAAACTCTAGAACATAATGGTCTGTCACGGGATGTGTGGATTATGGCACTCATAATTGTATTTTAATAAAAAAATGTTTTTTTTTTTTCGAAAAACTATTTTCATATTCTTATACCTGCACGGTCAGACAAATGTTAACCAGAGCATTGGCTTTATATGAGATTAAATTTTACGGTTATTTCATCTCGAACGTTTAATAAATTTTATATAATTGATCCTATGTAAAAGGCTGTAAATATGTTAATATAGTACGTACGACTGCTAATTTATTTCTTAACAAGTATAATTTTTATTCCTCGGCCCGATATAATTTTGCAATGGACCATGCAGTCATTCTTAAGAACATATTCAATTTGTACACATCATAATAAGGAATTCCCATATTTTTGAGGATTGAAAATCGTATGGAAACCATAGTGCTTATCAGAATCAAAGTATAATTGTTTCCCTAAAGCTTGTTTTACTTTTCATAAAAAATAAACAAAAAATGTCCTGTAATCTTGCCGATGCGTTACTTGCAATAAAACTGCAAATATTAAAAAAAAAACTCAATATCAAACGCCACAAACGCTTTTGCTAATAAACAAAAAAGAAATGAAAGCTATCATAAAAAGCGTGGTATTTCTGTAGCATTCCTTTCTGCAAGACGTACATCGCAGAATTTCTTTTCATTGTCAAAATAAACAATAAAATAATACAATATTCTAGCACTCGGTAAATTTCAGAGACAACTTCTGATAGTGTATCCTTGTTTTCACAGAACTTAAGTGATCCCGTATTCATTAATATCGCAAGGCTATACTTTAAACAGTCCTACAGGGCAAAGTGACATGAAACGCATAATAACAAAGCACTGATACAACGATAGCCTATCTGGAGTGTCGCGAATATGGAGTATGGTCTCAGGTGCGAAACCCGGAGCCGGGGCTATGACTCGCGGCCACGTCTAGCCTACGCGGCGACTAGATGGCTAAAATGAAAACTATCACTGATTTTGAGCAGGATTACCAGTTTTAATCAAAATAGTTCCTTAGATTTAGACTAATCTCAATTCCTTGTCGAAGAAAATGTTACATCTACCCTAGAAACATGAACATTTTAATTTGATCTCTTGACCCAAGCAATCTCTGACAGCTCCACCAAGCTCATACTATATAATCTTATTACAATCAATACGTAAGCCTCTTTATTTTCTTGCATGATGTTTTTTTTTTCAATTTAAGACAGTTTCTGCAACTTTCTAAGAACGGTGTATCAAAGGAAGCATCTGGGATCATACGTGCCCTGGCCGTTCAAGGTTAACGTGAATTCTCATTGATCCTCCATACGCGTAGGTTGGGCGCAACCGCTTTCATCACTCCGTGAAAAATTCTGCACTCTCTCATTGGACAGAAGGTCCATTTATATGAAGCAATTTTTCTATAAAAAGGAGCAGAATCCGATTCCATCCAGCAGTCTGTTCCTCAGCTCTCAATCAGGACCATGGCCGGTGTAAGTTTTCTTTTCTAGTTTTTGCTCCAAGCACCTTGCACATACTTTCGTTGATTAAATGCGACAGCAAAGCATATTTTACAAGTTGTAAATAGTTTGCTGTACCTGAAGTTCATAGCTTTTGAGTGGTTTACCGACTTCTACATGTTATATAAAATCCAGTTAAGTAAACAGTGTTAGTAAAAATAAAAATTTAATAACAACTCTAGTTTTCTAATCATATCAGAAACATATATTCTACATAAATAAGGCATCATCAAGCAGAGCCGATGGACATACCTATTTAGTTCGGCGTGTAACTTGTGGGTTACCGAAAAATGAAACCTCAAAAGCGTGCAGATGAGATAACCTTTTTTCTTTTTTCATGCAGTTCCGTGCTTGCCTTCTTCTGGCCTTGGCCTCCAGCGCTTTCGCTGGCTTCACCCACGGAGGCATTGGCTACGGCGGCCTAGGCTACGCCGGACTTGGCTACGGCGGCCTCGGCTACTCCGGCCTTGGTTACGGCGGCCTCGGCTACTCCGGCCTCGGCTACGGGTCTGGCCTCGGCTATGGTCACGCTGTTGGTATTGGCCATGGCTTCGGCTACTCTGGACTTACCGGCTACTCCGTTGCTGCCCCAGTCGCTAGCTACGCTGTTGCTGCTCCAGCTGTGAGCCGCACCGTGTCCACTTCCTACCACGCTGCCCCAGCCGTCGCCTCCTACGCGGTGGCACCAGCCGTGGCCAAGGTTGCCACCACTTATGCCGCGCCAGCTGTGGCTAGCTACCAGACCTACCACGCTGCCCCAGCTGTGACCAAGGTCGCCACCTACCAGGCTGCTCCAGCTGTTGCTTCCTACGCTGTCGCCCCAGTTGCCACCTACGCTGCTGCCCCAGCCGTCACCAAGGTTGCCACCACCTACCAGGCTGCTCCCGCTGTTGCCTCTTACGCTGTTGCCCCAGTTGCCACTTACGCTGCTGCCCCAGCTGTTGCCAAGGTTGCCACCACCTACCACGCTGCTCCAGCTGTCGCTTCCTACGCTGTCGCCCCAGCTGTAACCAGGGTTGCCACCGCCTACCACGCTGCTCCAGCTGTTGCCACCTACGCTGCTCCAGCCGTGGCCACCTACGCTGCTCCAGCTGTGGCCACCTACGCTGCCCCAGCTGTCGCAAAGGTTGCGACCACCTACCACGCTGCTCCAGCCGTTGCCAGCTACCAGACCTACCACGCTGCCCCAGCTGTCACCACCGTCGCCCACGCTCCAGCTTACGGCTACGGAATCGGCACCCTCGGCTACGGCGTCGGTCACTACGGCTTTGGTCATGGTCTTGGCAGCTACGGCCTGAACTACGGTTACGGCCTCGGTGGCTTCAACGACTACACTGCTCTCCTCCGCAAGAGGAAGTGTAAGTAATGCTATAATTTGTTATAATATTTATTTACTGGCTTCAATATTTGGTTGTAATGCACCTTATATAAATTAAGGCCTAGATAATATTGGGGTTAACTCATATATGTTGTCAGCAGAATAAACATGTTACTGTCGAGGTGGGGAACCGTTCGATGACTTGTATTCTCAGGCAACGTCCTAGTATTTCGGGCGAGAAACCAGAGCACAATTTTTTTCGTCATCTGTGTATTAATCTAAGCCGTTAAATAATGTTTTTTTTTTCTCTTGCAGAAACCACATCGGAACGTCCAGTAACCTACTTAGCCAAGCTTGAGAGAATAGTTGCGTGGCCCTTGCTGTATACGGAAACTCTGTACTATGTCTTCTCAATAAATTATTTTGGAAGTTGTATGTGAGACTAGATAAATATTATTCTCACCTTAGGGTTGGTTCTAGCCAACCGCTCAGAACCAAAGACAGACGGGGAGAAATTACATATAATGAACTCCACAACATAATTTTGATTTTAACTTTTTTAATAGGAATTTATTTTGTTTGTTCATATTGTAGAGGACAAGGATACTTGCGCTAAGTTCAACTTGAGTGCTTGTACAAGGCACGTTCTTTTTTTGACGATCGTGTAGCCAGCACGTTTACCTAGAAAAAGCTCCCTCGTAAGGTAGTTTCACTCGAAGCACTCCTTCCAAAATGCTTCACAGGTAACAAAACTTTCTTTGTATAGTATCATGCTCTAAATTTTCGGAGCTGTTAAGCTTTTGGTATTTAACCTTAGGATCGTACGTGGTGTGTTCAGGGTTTACAGACTGTTCTTTAGCCGTGAAAGCATCATTAATGCGGTTTGTGCAGTAGAGTTCCCGAGGTACATCAAATCCTTACCTAAGAATTGTTTAGTTACTATTTAATTAGTGAATATAAAAATATTGTTTCAATAAAAAAATGCTTAAGCTTCATTGAAAACTCCTAAATAAGTAAAGTTTAGAGATACTTGGAGCTTCTGGGAGGCGCGGTGGGGCGCTAAAATGAGAGTGCTTCCAACGAGGGCAAGACTGGCGGTGGAAATGCACGTCCGGATGTTTTTATTTTTGTTTCTGATCATCCGAACTTACGCACTGCCACCTTTCCACCCGTTGCTCTAGTGGTAACTTTTGTTCCCCGCAGCGCTTCCTCAATGCCTGAAAATCTTTCAAATCAGTTTATTTACTGACCTTTAATGACGCTCAGAAAGATAATAATTATAATCAAACGTTAATTTTCAATATCTAAAAGGATGATTTAAAAATTGTGGGCGAATGTTATCGATTTTTTTATTGATAATACATCTCCGATTGGACATTTTGTAGAGGTGGGCAACAATAATCAGTGACAATACACTGAGAGAAAAATCAACTTAAAATTAATAGGGCCAGCACTACACATATAACGAGATTCAAAACCTTCAACACGTACAGGTCTATATGGAGAAGGAAATTTACCTTCTGAATACATATCAGATTTGCACAGTAGAGTCCACCGTGTACAAAGCAGAAAAATGTCGATAAGCTCGTGTACAAATAAGGCATATTCGGCGTGTATAACAACACCATTAGGCAAAGAGCTTTAGTCATGCCATGTTGGACTTTTCGACGACGCAGACAGAAATTGGGAAGCTTTTTCGAATTCGTTGATAAGAAACTTGAAAAAGCCAAAAACAACTTGTACTAGTCTGTTAAACTGGGGGCGCCATGATGACTCAGGACTGCCAACAAAGATTCCCATTGAGTTTTCACAATGGTTGATTATTTTTGTGATCTGAAAAAGGATATAATCCGCACTGGACGCCCTTTTCGCATATTACCTCGTCCTCAAACCTTTGTTCTTTCAGCTTGTAGTTCAAACAATCCCTCAGGAGACATATTTTCCTAACAGGATAACATCCAGCAGCTCCCATTTCATTTCATAGATTCATTTTTGCATTATATGCACGGTTCGGAACTGGGAGATACATAATGTTGGGGTGAGTTAAAGTACCATGAAAAAACATAAACGCAATAATGTAGGATAATACAACGTAGGAGTTACTTAAAGTAAAATACAACTAAAAGAACAATTCACAAAAGATGTATTTCGAATGCATTAAGGAACGCTGTTGATGTTGTTAATTGGGACTATAGATGATGGTAGCTGGTTCCATTCGAAAATGGGCGGGGAAGGAAGGGTTAATGAAAAGCATTGGTGTACCGAAAAATCGAATGATAGCTCATGAATTATTTAATCGGGAATATATTAGTTCCTTAAGAGGTGGAGGGGGGGGGGGGGGATAGAAAAGAGCCATTAAAGTCTGAGCAGTAGAAATACATTTTTTGAAAGACGCAGAGTTGGGAGATTTCCCTTCGGTAGTGCCACGGCGTTAGTCCGACTATTTTTTAGGCAAAAACACTAGTAAAATGATCGAATAATGATCAGATTGAACGATTAGCTCGGTTATGCGCTAGTCCATTGTGTTGAGAATGTATGATTGATGAGGGTTCTAAATTGCGGCGGGGTACTCTAGCTTAGGTCTAATATAAGTTTCACATTACATTTTCGGAACACATGGAGGGACATCTCGTAGGGTTGGTTTGGTGAATCCGAGAGTCTTAGATGCATCTGCCGAAATAGTTTCAATATATGTCTTTGAAGAAAGCTAAGAGGTCAATCTGATGCTAATGTATTTTTACATGACAGACGGTAGATTTCGGAACAACCACTAATTTTAGTTCACCCAAGCACTACCATAGTTGATTTAGAGCACAGATCTCGGGTCACTAAGAACTGTTCCTGTGAAGCATTAGCTTAAAAAAATAAACGTTTCATACCAACTATTGCGGACCTAATCTGATATAAGACCGGCTCGAACATATCCAAATATACAACATCTCAATAAAACTGTAGGGGACGAGGAAGTAGAGAGGCATAGGGCGAGGCGCGAGGGACGAGAAGAAAATTAGAAAAAGAGGAGGTGGAATGGGACAGCACGGGCGGGGCAGTCGAATCCGGCAGAGCTCAAGAACAGACGCTCTTTTCCTCGCGGAGTCGCGGACCCAGACCTTCATGGCATACCAGGGCCTGCACCATCGAGGCAGACCGGCAGAGCAGCGACGGTTGCCACAACCGGGGAGGCCAAGCCAGCGGCAGAGCAGAGAACTGTATTTATAAAACCCCTTCTCATGGCAGCGGGTGTCGTCTGGTTTCTCAGTGAGTGAGCGGAGCACGGTCCGATCGGGCAGAGGCAATAGGACACCCACAAAACTTAAGGCAGTCGTGTCGCGACAGCGTTAGGTCAGTCTTCCTTTCATGTATGGCAACGCTGTTTACTCTCCAGATAAAACAGTTAGTCAGTGCAGTAACATAACTAGTCTGAGGTCTTTAACATCCATCACGCTGTAGTGGTGCAGTACCTCACACTGGTGCGATGGTCATGCAGATCAAAACGTGCAGGGTTGTGGAATGAACCCAGGATCTCTAGGTTCTGCTGGGTGAGCTTTCGCTCCACGCGCTCTGGGCTGCGGTGCTCTAACACACTCGGCCACCGATCTCCCCTGCAGCTCACTGCAGACGCACTAGTCTACTTTACCAGGCTGACACCCTCCAGAACCCTGCGAAAATTCAGCAATGCACTGATTTGATGATCACTTGCTAGTATCTGCGTCATTAGAAACGACTGATAGTGCCCAGTGCAATACTATTACACTGCAAAAATAGCTTATTATACCAAACACTTTAGTGAGAAACTCGAGACCGAGGTAATGACAGACGACGACAAAGAAGAGAAGGAGCAGCGAAGGTCTTTTGTTGGTTTGACCCCATTGTTAGGGGTCCGGTGTCGTGTCTTTGGTGGTGAGAGTTGTTATTATAATGCAATTAAATGCAAAGGTGCAAGCGAACTGGACAAGAATGATGAAAATAATCCCCGGAGAAGGGGAAAAAGAGGGACAAAGGACAAACATAAATCTCCAAACACAGCTAGGTGACTGGTGAGCGACCCAAAAAATCCGCCTGGTGCGGGTATCGAACCCGGGACCTCTCCATTACAGGTGGAGCGCTCTACCAACTGAGCTAACCAGGGGTTAGACCTCACTAGAGCAAACGGGTTTTGTCAGTTGCCACCAGTCTAACACCAACAAGGGTGAAGCTTGCAAGGTAAGGTTGTAATTATAATGCAATTAAATGCAAAGGTGCAAGCGAGCTGGACAAGAATGATGAAGATAATCCCTGGAGAAGGGGAACAAGAGGGACAAAGGACCAACATAAATCTTGTTTGTGGAAAGAGGTGATGTGAAGAAGGGTTTCCTTTCCTTCCTTCTTTTTTCAACCCTATGTAAAGGATTCTGTCCTCAATAAAGGTTTAGCGGTGTTTAAAACGTTCTCCTTCTCTTCCTTGTCGTCGTCTGTCATTACCTCAGTCTCGGATTTTTCACTAAAATGTTTAATATACACGAGCTCACTTGCGCCTTTATGTTCTGCTCATTAATACTTCAAGATGCAAGCTTTCTTTCTCCTTCCTTCCTTCATTCACTCATCTTCCCAAGGATCTACGCCCACTCGCTGTGGGTTCTCTGCAAGATCGGCTACCGGATGTCTCAGATGGAAGCGGAACTTTCCTACATCGGCATCTGTCTGAGGTGAAATTTTGTGGACCCTGAGCGCTTTCGCCACCCGAAGACCCTGGAAGTTGGATGGCATCGGAAGAGGAAGATCCTCAACGACTACCGAAACTGTACAGAGATCATCTACGAACTGTGAGTCAACTCGCGGATCAGTTGTGGACCGCTTTCATTGGAGAACATTTTCAAGCTTCGACTTTATATACTCAGTGGCACGCTGTAAATTTGAAAGACTGTAATACAACTTTCCGGTCCCTGAGGCAGAAGATAAGGACAAGCAAGTCACTGAAACCTGGGTTCATGTCAACGGTTGCCACGATGAAAGCTGCCCTTGTAAATCTCTTTGGCATAGAGATCACCAAGTCAACTGAGAATTGTCTAGCCAACGGTCCGAAGTTTTGCGTGAATGTGAAGCACTCTCGTTTGGATATTTGTCCTGCAATTAATGTCATGTCTAACGCGGTGTTACCACCAGCTGATAAAAGTGCTCTTGAGTCAACGGCTTTTAAGAGAATTTCGTCCTTAGCAGATGCTTCGTACAGGACAGATGTTAGAAACTTTAGGATGGTAACCCGGGTTAAGAAAGAGTCGGAAGGGAAAGAGGTGAATCTTCTTGAAACAGACAAATCGGGGCTGTTTGCTGTTCTGCCTTCAAATAAGTTTAAGGAGAAATGTAACCTCGCTGTCTCCGGGTTATTTCGTTCTTTTGATGGCGATCTTGGCCGACACAAGAAAGAACTAGTATGGACTTTTAAGGACACTGACTTT